GTACTCAAGAACCTTGCTACGGCAGCCTTAGGGAAGTACGGAATCTGTTTGCTAGAGGGATTTCTTTACAGGCTACTGCTTGGAAGAGATTAATGACATCTCTGGGAAAACAAAAAAATTTTAATGTTGGAAGTAATCTGTGCTCACCAAACAGTAACCACCATATAATTTCACTGTGGCATCTTCTGGTGTATCCCCCACATTAAAAGAAAGCACCAAATATCTTCAGGTTTATTGCTGCTTTAAAATGAAACACATCCCGAGGGCATTTATTTTTCTCCACTGATTGTGACAGCTAAAGCAGATAGGAACATCTACCCTCTGTCCTTTCAGTTCCACCACATTTTTCCCCTGGCTGATGTCTGTATGAAAAAAACGACCACCTCTCCTATAATAAATCAGAGAGTCAGACTATTGCTGATGTTGGAGGAGACCTCTGGCAATCAAAGAGATCCCTTTCCAAAGCAGATTACATGGGGTTGTTCAGGTGTCCAGCTGGGTTTTTAATATCTCCAAGGATGGAGACTCCACAACATAACTGAACAACCTGTTCCAGTGTTTGGCCACCCTCGCAGTGAAAAAAGAAACAAATTTTCTTACGTTTAAATGATATTACATGTATAAATACATTTTAAAATAACCCAATTCAGTAAAGGTCAGAGAACAATGGTCTCTAAAGTCCTTTTTACCAACTGCAATGAAATTTACAAGGCCCTTTAAAATAATTTAATATTTATTGCAGTGATAGTCTTCCTATCTATATTTGTTGGGCTGACATGTTTTAATACTGATTTTACTTATATTGAGGCTATGCCACATTCGATACTATACAGATGAAGTTAATTATGACTGTATTCCTTACACAGCAACTAACAGCGGCAACTCATTGAAATAATACGGTCTTCGAGTAGGACAGTCCTGGGACCCTGGAGACCAATATTCAATATACAGCTGAGATGATGCTTGCTGATAACTATTGAGTGGCTTCTAGAGATAATCATCTGCCTTATCTTAGGTATCTACATATCTCTTAATCATTTCAAGGTGTTCTTTTGACAAGGAAGAAAGAGACACCTCCAGAGCATGATTCGTTTTTCAGTAGAAAAGATGTTCAGTCTAGGGTACAGAAATTGCTTTTTTTTACGTGGATTATATAGCCTTGGTTGAATAGTTCAGTCCTACAGACATAACTTGTAAATGTCCAAAATCTGAGGCAAGATCTAGCTATTATTTTCCTGTCCTTTGTTTTCAACACTTATAAAAGGATGCCTGTTCCTTGGTTTTCACAATTTATCCAGGAGAGATGTTAACAATATGTTCCTTTATAGTAGTTGCTTATAAAAATCTAGGTCCCAGAACAAATCACTTTGGAATAAGAAAGCTCATGAGAGTTACGCTAGGGTCATACTCTGGGAGGCATATCTCAGCCTTGAACAGCATCCCGTACACTGGAATTCGCACTGTCCTCTGCAAGACCATTCCCACCTCTCATTCTGACCAGCAATTCAATATCAGATTATTTTCACAGAATTTAACCAGATCTAGTATTTCATCTCTTTCTCTGGGGCTCATGTGCTTCTAAAATATGAATAGCCACTGAGTCTGCTTTTCATCATAGTGTTATTGCCAAATCTTGGAATCTTTTCTCTCAAGCCACTTCAACAGTTTTCTGTTTGATTTCCTGTTTCCTCCCCCAGGACGAAAATCAATGGCAGAAAGTGCAGGGAAAATAAAGTTACAGAAGTCATAATAACTTTTTGCCTGGTGATTGTTACATTCAAGCAGAAGAACACGATCTCCTCTCCTGCAGAATAGGAAAAGAAAGTTCCCAGTTTTTGTGTTATTTCCTAGCTGTAAGCAGTATAATGCAGACTCCAGAAAAGACATTATCCCCCTGGTTAAAATGGGGCCAGTATTTTACTCAGCACATACAGGAGTAAGAGTAGGTATCAGCATGCCTGCAGCTTTAGGGTCCGATCCCTTCACATTAGAAACAATTTTTATGTTTTCCTTAAAAAGAAGCGAATCTGAGAAACAACACATGGGCCTCATCCTTGGACACACTGAGCAAGCTGCAAGTTGCTGATCACTGAAGAGGGGACATGCTGTTTAGAGATAATTTAGCACTAGTAAAAAATGCCATATTGATTGCCCCAAAGACAGATGTCTTCTGTACAGCCCAGGCAGTGACGTGCTGTTGAGAGGACGGGATTCATGCAGCAGTGTGGGAAAGGCCTGTGCTGAGCAAACCAAGGTGAACTATTATCCCACCTCCACAGCACTGTACTGCCCAGTCAGAACAGATACTGAATTAAACCAAATCAACTGTGAGTGAAATAATTTATTTAACCCTTAGAAAACATTCAATTGCATTTACAACTCCCAAAATATTTTTAACAATGAAGCATCAATGAAGCATTATGAAGTGCTGGTGTCCCAGATTTAGAATTTCTATGGTTATCAATTCAAAGAGATTAAGTTTGCAAGGTACTACAAATAAAAACTATGTTATAGGTATAAATGCTGTTAAAGAGCTGATGATGACAGAAAAACTATATGACAGACTTTTTATTTTAAGTCACATAACACAAGTGTATTCCATATGAACAGATTTGGTTTGTGCAGTATGCATAAATTCAGTAACTCAGCTGGCTCGGCTCCATTGATTCCTGAAACTGTGTCATTGGCACCATCTATTTTCTACACACATAACACAGCAGTGATGAGTGTGATTGAAGTGTCTATACACAGACACAGTGCCATGTGAGGAAATGTCCTGTGCAAAAAATAGCTTTCACTGAAAAATTGTCCTTTACAAACAGAAATAGTTCCTAAACTTAGTGGGGGTTTAAAGACAGATAGTTTTACATTAGGGACAGAAGGGATTTCATATCTGGTTTTATTTCTTGTGTCCCTCTTTGTCCTTTTCTCTCTCTCCTTTTTTAGCCTCGTTATTTTTCTACTTGTATCAGTGCAAGGCGAAAGATCTCACTAAAGGAATGAAAAAGCAAACAACAATAACCACAACAAAGTAAAGAAGGAAAAGGAATATACAGGTGGCAAAAACTTGCTCAAAATATTCTATTTATTAAATTATAGCCTCTCTATAAACTTCTTAAGTGAGGTAGAAAGATGTTTCCTTTACAAATATATGGACCAGAAGTGGATTTATTGACATTTACCTCTCCAAAGGAGGAGGAATCTATCTTGTGATTTGAACTGGCTAGATAAAGCCTGGACCCCTCTTCCATCTTGATGCTGCAATCTCTTAATTTGAAAGTCTGAGGTTAAGCTTTAGAGTGCAGAGCCTATCTTAATATGGACTTTCATAGCAACAAACTCAATGGGCCTCAGGTCGCAAGTGTTATAGTGTAAACAATAAAAGAAAAATAATGGGAAGATGACGAGATTTTAGTGTAATCCCACTGAAAAGTTGCTGCCATATGCTTTACTGTAAGCAAAATTACCAGAAGTGTTTAACTGGATCTTGAATGTGGTTCTACCTGCCTCTTGTCTTGTTCTGTCATGCTTCACACATTAACCCTCCTCTTACTTGCACAAGATCCAGCACTACTATCTTTGTACCTCTCAAAGCCCTGGTGGTACTAACTAATCTCAGAAAACCCTAAATGCATTCCCCAAAATGAGGACTTGGGCTCTGAGGGGGGCCTGATTCTTCATTCCTTTGCTACAGCAATATTTAGAGCATGAGGTCCACCCTCCATGCACTGTTATGCCAGGCATGTGTGACAACAGCTGAACTGTCATCGCAGCTCCTGTGAGATTTGTTCTCTTCCATACTCGGTTGCTAGCTAAGGGACTGATGATTAACTGACACAGTGAGGTCAGGGTGCATCTTACAGGCAAGATAGTGTTTAACCCACCACTCGTGCTAGATGGCACCTTGGTAACTCGTTGTGTGGTCACTTGTCACTGGTGAATTCCCTATATGCTTTAGAGATGTTCTCCTGATGTAGCAGACTGAGGAGGAAAGGACATCCTAGTTAGGTTGTGCAGCCCTTGACAGCACAAAGCTGCCAGGTGCTGGCCACTCTAAAGTCCTCTCAGACGGCAATAGCCTTCTCATCATTTTAGAAGCCATCAAGTATCTTACCCGAGAGCTTAACTTCAGTCTTTCAAATTAAGAGATTGCAGCAGCAAGATGGAAGAGGGGTCTGGGTTTTGTCTAGCCAGTTCATATCACAAGACAGAGTCCTGCTCCTTTAGAGATGTAATCTTTGTATTTGGGTAAAAGTGACTCTCTGCCACATCTAGCTCTGCTCCCTGCTACTAGCTGCAGCTGACATAAAGGACTGGGTGTGTAATTCAGAAACAGGTCATGCAGTGAAGATGAAGAGGCAGTGTCTAAGCCTTAAGAATGGAGGATCATTCACAGGCACTTGCTTCTCTGAAGGACAATGTCCCACATAGTCTGTATTAAGGTAATACGTGAAGTAATATTTGAGACAGTATGTGAGGTAATATTAGGGGAAGTCACAGTTCTTGTCTCTTTCTGAGCAGAGGAAGGAAGAGAACTAATGGTCAATCTGAAATGTAGCAGTTACCAAATAAAAATCACTGTCTCATACACTAATTAGAAGAATTAATAGTATTCTCTGTAAGGGAAACTGAAAATCTGCTAGTTCTGCCCTCTTCCTCACTATCACATTGATTATACCTGAATCTTTCTCAAGATATAAACCCTTGTAACAAAAATGAGATACTTCTCCCTGAGGCAATATCTCCCACCCTTCTTAGGAGATCTTCAATCTCCTTATCTTCCCTATCTTAGAAGATCTGATTAAAGCATAGCAGAGCTTCTCTGTCAATGGAAGAAAACTGCAACAAAGCCTGCCAACAGGCTCTGTAAATCCTGAAGTTCTCTGGAGCCATGTTTATTTTATTTTAGGTGACAACTAATTGTTAGTTGATTTTGGGCTTGGAAAAACCTAGCTCTGGTCTATCAGCTCATAGTGATCCACTTGTTCTACTCTTTCTAGATCGACAGCATGCAGGCTCTGCTTCACTGCCCCAATGTGCTGGTGTGTGTTGGTCGGGAGCCATTCAAACCCGTACTGATGGAGAATTTGAGGAAACACTCAGTGGAGAAGCTGCCTAACCTGGCTCCCCGTTCCAATGGCAACAATGTCAAAGAAAACAATGAAGGTAAGAAAAACTCTCAGGCATATTACACAGTCATCTCCAGGCCTGTGACCCACAGCATGGAGATTACAGGCACCTATTGTACTGCCCCAATGCGCAGATTTCATGTGGAAAATGTACTTCCCTCTCTCTGCCTCCCAAGCCTTTCCATCCTCCCCTTCTTTTTCTCTGGTTTCCTTCTAGGATTTCCTCCCTACACCCTCCAGTCTTTCTTTTACATGCTACCCATGTCTGGCTGACTTCCCTTCCTCTTTCATATCTCTGTGTCTCCTTTTCCTTCCAGAACTCCCTCCTTTCCTGTGTCTGCCTCTGAGACTTCCCAAACTCTTGAGATTTCCCACGAATACTCTATCCCCTTGTCTGTCTGTCATATAACGCTTGCACTTTGCATTTGCCTGCACCAGGATAAGAGGGTGCCCACTTTTTGTCAGCAGGAGACTCAGTTTCTCCTACAGGTTACAGCTGCAATGTAGCCCTTTGGAAACAAACCATGTTTTTATGGAAAGATTGTGTTCAGGAAGGAGTATGTCATAGATTACTCAGGTTGATACTTCTTAGGCACTTCATCATGAGTTATCTGAAGTCACATGTAATTAAATCAACCATCCTCAGTAGCCTATGAAAAGAAACTTCCTATTTCCAAAGGGCAATTAATCTCACTCATAGAGTTTTTTTTTTAGGATGAAATGAAATACGCTCTGGAGGTGCACCTGTTTCTCTCCATTGTGAATACTAGGAGCCAGGAAATGCTCACTTGTGTTTTGACAAGTTGTAGAAACTTAGGGACAGAGACATCTCACACTTTCTGATCAAGACATAAAAAATAGGAGAGAGCAGTGCAAATAAACTAAAACTTTGTCCATAAAAAGACTGAGCAATATATCAGCTCAAATTCATAAAGATGGTTAGATAAGAGTTATTTCATGTAATCTTCTTTGATGTGTTTTCTGTTCAACACTTCCTTCCTAAAATGCCCACCATTCAGCTTCATATCCATATGCCCAGATATGTCTTAAGTACACTTTGAATAAACATATATTAGAAACAAGATAGATGCATTTCTCAAGACAGCACAATGACAATGTACTCTGCTTGAAATAAAGGGTGTATGACCTCAGTAAATCTCTGCAGATCACTGCTTTGGCCATAGAGATGTGCTTTTGATTACAATTCTTAAAATTCCCTTACTATCACTGATTTCTTCTAGAACTACCATGATTTTTCTTTGCAACTGTCATCAGCTTATGATTCCTTTATCATTTGTGGGGTTTTTTTTTAATAAACATTGTTATTATTCACAGTGGCACATCCCTGCAGGGTCTGAGTGCTGCTCTGGTCTACATGACTGTGTTTCTTGGCATGTGAGTGGAGAAGTGGATGATGCACAATAAATGTGTGATACTTGACTTCTTGCTAAGGAAGAGGGTGACTTCTCCATGTATTTTTCACTAACTAAATAAGAAAGATGAAAACTTGCACACTTGAATAAAAGGATATTTGCATCATGGTAAAACAGAGAAAGTCTGAGAGTAAATCTCTCTTTGCATTAAAATTTTTCTTCTTGGCATGCACCTATTACAACAAAAAAAAGTTTCTGTGTTTCAATTTAGGTTAAAAAAATAAAATTAATGTATAGAAGATTTAAATGCTGATTATTCATTCAAAACTCAACATTTATGGCCATCGCTTAGTCAAAGCCAAATTTTCAAATTATGAAAACTGCTATAAGCTCAGCTTTAATAGAATAATATCAGTATCAACTAATTTGAGGGTTTGGTCTATATATTTTGTGCCATCTTTATATGAGTTCACATTTGTCTCCATCTTTCTTTTCTTCACTTATTTCAAACTCCAGTGGACTTTGGACTGAAAGCCAAAAAAAGTGTTATCCATCCACGAACAGCATCAAGCAATAGGTCAATGAGATTTTCTTTATCATCAGAAAAATCATATCCTAATGGTCTTGCTGCCTCACCAGATAATGGTGTACCTTTCTCAAACAGTTGCTTGCATTCAAAACCTGGGGACCTGGTCCATTCCTTGGTCAATGATGACATAGAAAAGCGGGTACATGTGAACAAGGATGGCAGCTTGTCTGTTGAGATGAAAGTCCGCTTCCGTTTGCTAAATGATGAGACTTTGCAGTGGTCCACCCAGATCAAAAAGTCCAATCTGATGAACCAGATGCCTTGCGAAGAGTCAGGTGTAGGGGAAGACAATGGAGTACACCCCATAGAGAAAATGAACCCAGAAGCCAGCTCAGAGGCAGATGAGTCATTATATCCCTGTGATATTGATTCTTACATGTCGAAACTTGAGGAATCGGAATGTGATGAGGCTCATTGTCATAGCTGTGGAAAGAAACACCAGGACTATGACATTTGGAAAAACCCCATGCACACATCCCAGAGGGGAGAGCCCAGTGTACGAAGCACCTGGCACACACGGTCATCATGCTCCAGCACATCTTCCCGAAGGAGAGTAGTCCACAAAAAAATGGCTTCTGTGGATAGCCTCCGCACCACATCCAGTGAGGAATTCTCTGAGCACATTGTGCAAGAGTCCTCATCCTACTCAGAGACTATAGAGAACAGAGTAGCATATCGATCCATTAAAAAGTGCACGTGTCAAAGTGATTTGTCAACAGGTGCTTCCAATGGAGAAGACCAGCAAGAATACACTCAAACAAGCACAAGCAATAGTCAGAGACCTTCATCCTTGGGTATAATGTCACATTCAAGCTGTGAAAACAACCTGGATACTCAAGAAACCCCTGAAGACCATGAGGCCAGCAAAACCAATTCACAAAATGAAGATGAAACTTGTTTTGAAGTCTCCTCTGTGAAGTGCTTAAAGGATGGTGGGGAAGAGGTTGAAAGCAGCAGAGTTGGGAGTGCCATGTCAAGGTCATCTCTGCAGTCCAGAAAGAGCAAGAAGAATGTATGTGAGGAAACAAGTAGTGTGGATAGGAGCACGTCCTCCTCAAGCCTTCAGAAGGCAAATCAAGACAGTAACACTAGGTCTTCCACTCCTGCCAATAGTGTGCACAGCAAGTCTAGTAACTGTACTGCACCAAGAGCAAAGAGTGAACAGGATGACCATTCTGATGACAATGCAGTGATCTCCTCCTTCTCCAGTGAGTCCAACCCAAAGAAAGAGGCTGAAGAGGTTGAAGCAGAGGAAGAAGAAAATGAAATCAATGAAGTCAGCTCAGTGTCAGCAAAATCAAAGCCCAGTCAATTGATTAGAGATGAAAGCAGTGAAGGTGACCGATGCTCTACACAAGGAACTCCTCATTCCAGAGCTAGTGTCAGGGACAGCAAGAGAAGTGACAGTGAGGAGGTCATTCTGTGCAATGCTTCTTGCTCCTCCAGAGGATCCCAAAAGAGCAAACACAGACATATTCATTTGGACACACAGTCTGAAATGTCTGTGTCTTCACTTGAATCCACTCTGAATAAAAAGAAGAATTCCCTCCATGCAGATGATCTGAGATCATGCAGCAGGACATCCAATTACTCCAAAAGTTCATGTGAAATAAAAAAAAAGTCTGTTGGAGACCTCATGTCTCATAAGTCAGGATCTTTTCATTCAAACATTTCATCTGTTAGTGAAACAGAGGCAAATGCAGGTTTTACAGAGGAGAAAAGCTTGAAAAGTACCACCAATGGCTACAGTGAATCCTCAAAAGGCTCAAAGAAGAGAAGCCATAGAGAAGAAAATAGCAAATCATCATCTGTCTGCTCAAGTGTTTCAAGCCCTAATGGAAAAGCTGGAGAGGGTCATTCTAAGATTAATTCAGAGGCCCCTTCTTCAAGACAGGGAAGTATGAGTGAGAGTGTATGTTCAAAATTTGACCATTTAACTGAGACTGGGATTAAGAATGGAAATACTGCAAGTGTCTCTTCAAGAGTCTCATCAAGGTCAGAAATAAAAGATAAATGCTTGTTAGCACATATATCCCAGGAAAGTGATGATAGATGCTCACAATCAGATGTATCTAAGTATTCAAAATCAAGGCAGATAAAAACTGGAAATCTTCATGTGGAGATGTCAAACTCCAGCCAAGCATCATTGCCTGACGCTGTGTCAGTATGCAGTATACATTGCCCTGCCCCACCAAAAGGGAAGCCAAAGAGCAAAAAAATTCGTTCAACCATGTTCAAGAATTCCTCCATTAGCAGCATAGGTACTGCTTCAGTGATGACCCCACGAAAAGAGCACAAAGAAATTGTTGATTCCTCCAAAGCAACTTCCTATGGGTCTAAATCAGCTGGAGCTGAAATAGATGATGAGAAGAGTAAAGAGATTGATGTTTCTTGCAATAAAAAAGTAGAGGAAGAGTTAGAAGGCATGGACATGCAGGAGGAAGGGAGTGAACTAGTGCCATCTACTCTACCAAATACATCTCCAGAAGAGGTTGTGCAAGAATGGCTGAGTAAAATCCCTTCAGAAACATTGCTTATGAAATATGAAATGGAGGATAATGTAGAAGAGGAATGTATGGAGGCAACCACTGAGGTATCATATTGTACAAATGCTGAGGAAATCTCAGAGGATGAAAAAGCTGAGAAAAAGGAGGAGGCTGAAAATGAGGCAAAGGATGAAGTAGGAAAAGAGGCAGCAGAAGGTACAGCTATTAATGAAGAGGCTGAAGAATGCATGAATCAGGAACAAATCTCTGAGGTTGTGTCCGAAGCTGACAAAGCTGACCAGGCAGAATGCAGCCAGTCAGCTACATCCCAACAAAATAGCAACAGAAGAGACCTGCCAACCACTGTCCAGACTTCAGTCCAGATCATGAAGGCCTTGCTTAGTTCAAAACATGAAACAAAATTTGACCGATCGAACAGTTTGCCTGAAGTGTCCCCTACTATGGGGAGGAAACTGAGTAACTCTGCCAGTATTCTGATTACTTGTCTTGCCAGTCTCCAGCTCCTTGACGAAGAGTCAGAAGGTCCATCAGATAAATCAAAATGTTTGAATAAGCCAAGGTACATGGAGCTGCTAAATGTTTTTCAAGCCCTGTGGTTTGAATGCGTACCTGAAAAAAGTGGCCCATGTTCAGATCAAGAAGCGTGTGAACAGGCAAAGACATCCTCAGCGTTTAAAGCCCCCAAATCTGTAGATTATGACTTCACTCCCATGTCCTCTTCTGGGGTTGATGTTAACAGTGGTTCTGGTGGCTCAGTGGAAGAGAATACAGCTGGTGCCAGAGACTGCACTTTGGCGGCACAGAAAACTGCTGAATTCAAATCATCTGGACAAGTGGAAAATGTAGAGACTGGCACTGAACTGACTGAGGCTGAGAAGCAAAGTCAAAAGGAAGAGCAGTCATCCCGACCTTCAACAGCCTGCTCAAAATCAAAGGCTGAGGAAAAAGCACAGTCTACTAGAGAGAACTCTCTAATTCAAGAGGCAGAAGAGAATAAGGAGGACCAGTGCAGTAACTGTGAACATGGTCAGGAGGAAGAGGGAGACAATGAAGACAAAGAAAACCGCAAATTAACTGAAAATGGAGAACAAGAAGAATCTGAAGTTGTGAACGATGAACTCCCAAAAGAAAATCTTGAAGAAGAAGCTGATCAGCTAGCCGCTACTGACAATACAAATGTCAATGATGCTGACTGTGGAACAGAGCTGAAAGACTATTTGGAAGAGCAGCTTGAAAAAGAGTCTCCAAATGACCCAGAACCCAAAGTTGATACAGCCACCAGTGTGGGCACATCCTTTGTTCAGCAAAACTCAATGGATCCAGACCCAGTTTGGGTCCTGAAACTACTCAAGAAAATTGAGAAGGAGTTCATGGCTCACTATGTCAGTGCCATGAATGAATTCAAAGTCAGGTGGAACCTGCAGGACAACCAACAAATGGATGAAATGATATTGGAACTGAAGGAGGAAGTGAGTAAAAGGATACAAAAAAGCATAGAGAAGGAGCTGAGAAAGATCAAAACCAGAGCAGGGAAGAAGCTGCCAAGACCTCCGGATGAACCTCTCAGACGAGAGTCAACACTCCAAACTGAGCAGAGGAGACTGCGATTGCAAACTATGCATAAAAAGTCACACTTCAGTGACAAGAATGGAAACCAGACTAGGCTAGAAGACACATCAGACTTATCTTTTGATGTAGATAAAGATACAGCATTCAGTGAAGCTTTTGAGGCCAGTATTAGTAAACAAACAAGTGAGGAGGAATACTGCCCATGTGACTCTTGTGTGAGGAAACAAATGGCTTCCAAACCCACAAGAAATCCAGTGGTGGCCACCAATGCCCCAGTCATGAAAGCATTTGATTTACAGCAAATCCTGAGGTTAAAGAAAAATTATAATGAGGAAGCCTGTGTCTCAGAAGCAGCCCAAGACAACAAAACAACTCCCAGTAGTTCTGTGGAAGAAGCAACAGAGAATGGCAATCCAAATGAGGAGAATGACGAAGGTGAAACGGAAGTGGAGGGCAATGAAGAAAAGGAGCCAGAATTAAATGAAATGGGCAGCTCAATGTTGAATGGAGGTGAAGGATCTGAAATATCAGAAAATCAAAACTGTGAGGTGGAGAATGAAGTTAAAGATGAAGAAACCAATGAAGAAGAAAAGAAAGAAGCAGAAGTGGAGGAAGAAGCAAAAGAGAGAGAAGAGGAAGCAAAAGAGGAGAAGGAAGAGGAAGAAGAAATAATGAATCTAGAAGAAGAGGAGGAAACAAAAGAAGAGGAGGAGGGAGAAACAAAAGAGAAAGAAGATGAGGAAGTAGAAGAGGAAGGAGCAGAGGAAACAGTGGAGGAAGAAGAAATAAATGAAGAAAAAGAGAAGGAGGAGGAGACAGAAGTGAAGGAGGAGGAAGAAGAAAGAAAAGAGGAGGAAGAGGAAGAAATAAAAGAAGAAGAAGAAGACATGAAGGAGGAGGAAGAAGCAAAAGACGAGGAAGAGGAAGAAATAAAAGAAGAAGAAGACATGAAGGAGGAGGAAGAAGCAAAAGAGGAGGAAGAGGAAGAAGCAAATGAGGAGGGAAAGGAAGGGAAGGAGGAAGAGGAAGAAACAAAAGAAGAGGAAGACATGAAGGAGGAGGAAGAAGCAAAAGAGGAGGAAGAGGAAGAAGCAAATGAGGAGGGAGAGGAAGGGAAGGAGGAAGAGGAAGAAATAAAAGAAGAAGAAGAAGACATGAAGGAGAAGGAAGAAGCAAAAGAGGAGGAAGAGGAAGAAGAGGAGGAAGAGGAAGAAGCAAATGAAGAGGGAGAGGAAGGGAAGGAGGAAGAGGAAGAAACAAAAGAGGAAGAGGAAGAAATAAAAGAAGAAGAAGAAGACATGAAGGAGAAGGAAGAAGCAAAAGAGGAGGAAGAGGAAGAAGAGGAGGAAGAGGAAGAAGCAAATGAAGAGGGAGAGGAAGGGAAGGAGGAAGAGGAAGAAACAAAAGAAGAAGAGGAAGACATGAAGGAGGAGGAAGAAGCAAAAGAGGAGGAAGAGGAAAAAGAGGAAGAAGTAAGCAAGGAGCATGATGAAGCAAAAGAAGAGGAAGAATCAAAACAAGAGGAGCAGGAAGTAGAAGAGGTAGAAAACCCCAAAGAGGAGGAGGAGGAAGAAGCAAAGGAAGAGGAGGAGGAAGTTAATGGAGAAGAGGAAGAACAAGAAGAAACTCAAAATGAAGAACAGGAAACTGAAGCTGACAATGATGCTGAAGAAGAAGAGGATGAGGACATTGGGGCTGATAATGAGGAAGAGACATCTGAATGCAGAGGAGATGCTGACGGCTCTGGAACTGTCAACAGTCCTGAAGGAAATGCTGCAGAAGGAAGTGAAGCTGAGCAGCATGAAGCTGAAGCAGAGGAAGATGCAAATCCAGAATCAGATGAGATGTGTTCAGATAAGGAGAAAAACAACAGTGAAGGAGATGACAAATGTGATGAGAATTTTGAGAAACCTACTAGTGATGACCCTGACAAGGCACATGAAAAGCATGAATTGAAACAGGTGAAAGGTAACAAGGTTTCTGAGAGAGCCTTAAAGGCCAAAGAAAGAAAAAGCAATAAAAGGCTAGGGACTCTGAACAAAGCAGCTGCCTTTTCTTGTTATTCTTCTGTAGGAAACTTCTCACAGCAATCTCAGAAGGGGTCTGAAGATGAAGAAGAATGCAAAGATGACAATAACTCCATGAGCAATCTTCCTAATGGAGAAGTGCACAGTGATGAGAGCAGCAAACCCTCACAGATGTATCCTGACAGCGAGGAAGAAGAGGACAAAGCATCTTCATGCACTGATCCTTTGGAAGATGAGGACCAGGTAGACGTTGAAGGGGCAGATCCAAAGGAGGTTGAACATACTGAAAATGTTCAGGCTTCTAAAAAGAAAGAAGACTCTAATGAGATTGGCCAGGATGACCTGGACTTCTAGAACTGCTTATCAAAACCTGCTTTTTATTTTTCTTCTTTCTTTCTTTTTTTTAAAGTATATTTTAATTACATGTTACGGTATCTCCAGTGAGTTGAGCCATCATAATTGGCTTTTATTCTGGTTAAATGTGGTAAACTTGATCTTGAATCCTGTCAGTAATGTTGCAATTACTTGCCCTCATTTCTAGAGGGCTACTAAACTCATTAAGATGTAGTGTTTTTAGTAGAAAAGTGGTTTGGGGAAAGGGAAGGCTGGTTTGTTTGTGATACCTTCTTGTGTCCGCTCTTTAAGCCATGCTGTTTGCTGCTTGAGCGATCTGTGGCTCTGCTGGGCGTCATCTCTGAGTGACTTCAGGATGCCTTTTGTCTGTTGCATGCCATTTTCCTGGAAAGATTGCCAATCCACAGAAACATGGCAAAATCTGGATTTGTTGCCAAAGTCTTGTCAGAGCCCACAGAAAAATACATTCACTTCCTCTCTACATGTCCTACCGTACCCTACCTGAACTTACCCTACTCTACCCTACCCTACTCTACTCTACCCTACCCTACTCTACTCTACCCTGCCCTACTCTACCATACCCTACCCTACTCTACCTTACCCTACTCTACTCTACCTTATCCTACCCTACCCTGTCTTACCCTACTCTACCCTACCCTACTCTATTCTACCCTATGCTGCCCTACCCTACTCTACCTTACCCTGCCATACCCTACCCTACCCTATCCTACCCTACCTTCTCTGTACCCAGAAAAGGGTCTGAGATATCAAAGTGTTTCACCACTTCCCCTATTTTTCCTTAGTAGAGGTTGAGATTACTCATCATTTCACTGGAAATCCTCAACACCAAGAAAGGTTATTCCTGTAGAGTGCACCTCTTTCAGACCACCGATCTGTTTGTACTGCGCTCATTACTGCAGTATGTAATCATGTACTGGTAGATAAAAAAGATGAGTTAATTCACCTATCTATATGAGGTGTCTGAGGTAGTGGTTGAATGCAATATTGACCAAATTAGAAATTAGTAAAGTTCCATTCCTTGTAATTACCTTTACTATGCCAATGATAATATCTAAGCACTTTACAATCATCTGGGATCCCTCAGACGATTTTGTATGAGGCCCTGTTCCAAACCTATAGGATCTGCAATTGCTCTGTGCCTCGCCCTTGCAGACAACCAATAAAATTTAAGCTAATTTTAGCTTTAACATGGAAAAAAGTTTGGGCATTTGTGCTGCAGCAAACAGCTGGAAGAGGCTCAAGCATTTACTGGAGATGCTGGACTTAACAAATCATGATAGAACTGCAAATTTAATTTAACAACTGTTTTCTATCAGATTGTATCCTTGGGAAACAGTCTATTTTATCAATACTTTGCAAGGACAATAAAACAGCAAAAAAATTAGAGGGTGAAAACAAAATGCCTTAAATTGTATGGTGGAAAAGTATGTGTGTAGTATTGTGCCAGGTTTGTGAAAGTGCATGCGGACGTGTTGAAATAATCAATATTTAATATGAAATAATTTACATTGTTATCATTTTAAGAAACAGTTTCTTAAACTCATAGCCAACCCATTGATTTCCACAGATAAGATTCATTTCACTCAAAGTAAGAATTTGGTTCAGCTCCAGAGGTTAACACTTAATTTTAGGTGTCTGAGAAATAGGGGTCTATATGGAGTAACCAGTGGAGAGCTGGATCTCAGCTGGTGTGCCCTCACAAAGGCTTATAGTGCCATCCATCTGAGATCCTCCAGGGAGGATGCCCTTTTTTTTAAGAAGGAAAGATCTGGGTTTTCTAAAAAGAAGGGTAACCCTGTTAGCCTCAGGTGGATGTCTTGGGTTTCCTAGGACATCTCGCGTGGAACTGTGTGTTTCTCTAGATGCAACTCTGCTGAACCCTGTCTCAAAGTTTGATATATTGTCTCATCTGGTAGTCTCAGCTCCATGTTTTTTTTCTGCAGACATTTCCATATCTAAGATTACTAGCTTCCAGACACCTTAGAGTCTATGTAGTTTAAACATATAGGTTTAGTGCCAGTTAAGATGGCCTAGGGAGCCCAGCATCATGCCATAGTGTTGGCCTAAAGAGATACAGATCTTTTGTAGGTCCAGAGTCATATCTCAAGCTCCTTTTAAATGTCAGGGATGTTTGAGGGCATCTTAAACTGAATTAGTCATGGATGTAAAAAAAAACTTAATCCACCCCTAAAACTGTGTAAGCAAATGCTACCTCAAGAAGCTGAAGTGCAAGGTTATAACTAAGCATTAAAACTCAATTGGCTTTGAAGTAGGTGTCATGGTTTAACCCCAGCTGACAGCTAAGCCCCACACAGCCTCTTGCTCATTACTCCCTGGTGGGACGGGGGAGAGAACTGGAACAGTAGAAGTGAGAAAAATGGTGGGTTGAGGTAAAGATTGTTTATTAGGTAACGCAAAAGCCTAATTTTGCAAGCAAAACAAACAAAGGAATCCATTCACCACTTTGCATCACAGGCAGATGTTCAGCCATCTCCAGAAAAGCAGTGGTCCATCACACACGAATCGTTACTTGAGAAGACAAACGTCATCACTCCAAACTTCTCTCCCTTTTCTTCTTCTGCCCTCAGCTTCATATGGTATGGAACATCCCTTGGGTCAGTTGAGATCAGCAGTACTGCCTGTGCTCCCTTGCAGCTCCCTGTGCACCCCCAGCCTGTCCAGCTGCTCTCTGGCTGATGGGGTGGTGTAAGGCCTTGACTCTGTGTAAGCACTGCTCAGCAATAGAGTGAAAACATCCCTGAACTATTAACACCATCTCCAGCACAAATCCAGCACATAGCTTCATACCAGTTACTATGGAAGAAATTACCTCAGCTAAAACCAGCACAACAGGAAACTGGAAACTCTCTTCTATGACACAGCAATAGTTAGATGTTTTCTAGTATATCAATATTACACTACCAAGTTAATTCCCACATCTAGAGTACATGATGAACACTACACCTACTCCAAGGGCCAGTGCTGTAGCTTCTGTACCATTAAAGGTCAACCTTAAGGTGCTATTTGAAGTTTGTCATCCATGAGCTTGGTGCTAGGCTTTGCATATAACTGAACATGGCTTGTATGAGCTGGATTTGGTTGCAAATGCCTTCAGGCACCCATCGTTCACAAGACTTGATAGTCCTAATGAATCCTCCTTGTCTAGACTTATGCTCATGGCTAAAGACAGAACCCACACAGGAAAAGTGATCCCTCTGGCATTTACTGTCTGGGTCAGAAAGAAACAGAACTGCTGCAGGGCAGTTTTCCCCTTCTGTAGTGATGTCCCGTGACATCAGTGTTCTGAGTCTCTATTAAACCTTTCCAAAATTTCCACAAACCAATGCCAAAACACTTTTTTTAAGATGTCCAGCATGAGAAACATCAAAAATACAGGTGCATCCATTGATTTCTAGTTAAGGGGAAGGCACCAAGGAAAAAATTACTGCTGGGCTAGATTCATATCTCTGGTTCTAGGCATGTGTGTCAGTTTTTTTGTCCTGGGTTCTCTGGGCAACGTGAAGAGACAGCATCTCCCAGCAGTTATTCAGAGTGTGACAGAGGATTGTCATCTGAAGTGCTAGAAGCCCATGGATTGTAGCATCTTAACCCTGGCACTTTGAATAAATTCTTCACTATGAGGGTGGTGAGTCACTGGCACAGGATGCCAGTGGCTGTGGCAGTGTTCAAGGCCAGGTTGGAAGGAGCCTGAAGAAACCTGGTCTAGTGGAAGGTGTCCACATGGCAGGGATGTTGAAACAAGATGAATTTGAAGGTCCCTTACAACCCAAACCATTCTGTGATTTTATGAGCCTATATATTCAAGCTGTGACTACCCCTGCAGCTTGTAAGTTGTCCAGGTACCATCGGGCTGGTTGGTCCCTACCCATCGTAGGGACACTGAGTGAAGGCTGTGGCCTCTTTGTTCACTGATGCCTGCTAGGGAGCTATTCCAGATACCAGGGAAAAGGAGTTTGCTGCTGAAGAATCCTGTTAGTGATGTCAGTCCCTGCAGCAGGACAGCTGGCCCAGCATGGCCACTCAGTGGCCCTGCAGTGTATGTCTCTCCACTTGGCAGAGACTGGCAGGTACAAAGTCATGTGTGCATGTATTTTGGTTTCATAGGGAGCAAAGTGAAATGTCTGTCTTCTGACACATCAGTTCTCTCAGGATTCAGAAAGGTACTGAGCTAGGTAGTCATAGTGCTGATCTTGACATGAGATATACACTGAAAGTGGTACACATTGACTTAACTTTAAGCATTTCTGGTGAAGATATCTCCCTCTGAGCCCACCATCCAGGCTCCCATTACAGAGAGAGAGGCAAAGAAAAGAGTGGTTCATCTCCTGTGGACAGCTACTTTAAAAGGAGAAGAATTACAGTCTCAGCATGCATTTCTCTCTGTGGAGTCTAGACAAGCTACTCAGATGGAAGTACTTCATGTGGAAAGAGCTGATTCCACCATAGCTACTCAAAAGCATCTTACAATGCTTATGATGGTGATTTGCAGACTGCCAGGCAACAGCTCAAGCCAGTCGTCCCATGGAAGTTTTGAAAGTGTTTGTTGGCTTCCAAATCACCCTTCTCTGCTATTGCTAAAAGCCACTGCTGGAACTTAATGGGTTAGTGAAAGAGTGATCATTTCCCAGGATTTCTGCTCCAGCTGTTGACTTTGCTTATTTTAAAGCTGCTTCTGCACAGCCAACATCACATCTTATCTGCGTTGAGTCAATAAGTTCCTTGCTTGCAGCACCAGCAAGGAGAAGGAAATCAAATAAACCACAAAAATGTAATCACCAAACCGTGACAACTGAAATCACAGGAGTTCTCCCCGCATGAGACCTGTTCCATACTTGTCTGTATTTGGGCAGTGACTCATGCATGTGCCTGTCCTTGTCGGGGCAGCTTGGGCTCTGTGCCCATACAGCCTGCTCACAAAAAGCCCCATTCAGAGAGGCTGAGGACCAGTCACATTGTTG